TGCTTTGCAATTATTACAGCTCCAAAGTGGGCTACAATTTATTCAGTTCGCCTTCGGCTTTAGTCCTTAGCTTTGCTGCTGCTGCTTCTGTTTCTGCTGCTGCTGCTGCTATAGCGTAATATTTATATTGTTTGCTTTGCACTTTCGAGCTCTGTCAAAGATTTGCATTTTCAATTCGGATTTTTAGCGCTGGCTCCTCGCTTTGCGCGCTGATTGCAGAGGACGAAAGGCTTATAAAGAGCACTGCACGCAAACGGAAAGTCGTTGAATGAATTTTTGATGCAATGTCATAAGCACAGTCGTGATGTGTTTTGAATACTAGATATGTCGCAGTCGACATTTAACTGGTTCGGCAAGGCCACTCCAGTTAATATTTAAAGCAATGCAGGATTCAATTTACGACTGTATTAATTTATGCATGATATATGAAGTAATAACTTTTTAAGTATTTTGCTAGCAGGTATAAACCACGATTGAGTGATAGTGTGTCATTTAACAGTGGGTATAAATAGTATAGTTTCCATCGATTGAAAATTAAGCAATATATTGACAAACTTAATCAATGGGTTTCTCAGCTCTAATAAGGAAACAACGCACAATAAATTTGGAACTAATCTGATTGTGATGAGGAGACATTTAATGGTTCTCCTATACACATCTATATCGAAAAAGTGTGCAAAAACTGAGCATTCAGTCCTACACAAATGTGTAAAATGTTAAGCTGGCCTTTCCAATCACTTGGATCTTATCAGCATCTGCCATTGCCATTGCCATTGCCATTGCCGTTGCCATTGCCGTTGCCACAGTCAGCCCTTTTGCTCTTTCGGCTGCTGATTTGTTCTGCTCTTGAGCCTAATGGCAATGTAAGCGCGTATAAGCTGGCACATTTTGTTTACTATTTGGAAAAGAACACGAATTTTCCGCCTGCCTTCCTCGATCCCTTCCTCCGATCGGCATTAGGCATACAAATTGACATGTTACGCCAAAAATGAATTGTGTAATTTCTGAGCATATGCAAAGGACAAAAAAAAAAAAAAAAAAAAAAAAAATGGAAAAGAAACATTTACAAAGTGGAACTCACATTCGATAAAAGCAAAATGTAAAACGTTTTCTCTTTATTAGGTTTGTTGTTGTGTTGCTCTGCTTACATGAAACCTGATGTTTCTGTTGATTTTTAAAGCTCTTTCCCCACAGTCCAGGCATCTCAGCTTGTTTGTATATATATGTGTGTGTGTATGTGTTTATGTTTGTTTGCTTCTTTACATGTGTGCGTTGCCACTTTGCTGCACTAAATTGCATTTAATTTTCAGATTTGCGTTGTGTTGCCAAGTTGCTCTATTTCTCTTCTCTTCTCTTCTCATCTCTTTTTTTTTAGTCCAGCTCTGTTGTTGCTGCTTTTTGGCATACGTACGGCCTTCACCCAAATAAAGCCATAGCTGCTTATGCATGTGAATATGCATGTATGTGTCCGTGTGTGTCCGTGTGTGTCCGTGTGTGTGTGTGTGTCTGTATTCAAAAGTGTTGATGTGCGCTAGCCTAAAATATATGTGCAAGAACAATGCACTCGCATACAAAAATACTTTCCCCACGCTGAATGCGACAAATAACACAAAAAATTTGCATATTTCGCGCAGCTTTAAAATCCGCGCACATGAAAACAAACGAAAGGCAAAGAAAACACGAATAAAGAATTCGTATTTTATTGCGCTTGGGGTTCAGACAACAAATATTAACATAATCACGCTTTAATCTAAATATGGTTAAGTCTCTGTAATGAGGCAACAGCTACAGGAACTCTATTCTATGTAACAGACATACATATATATTATATAAAGAGTATATATTTTCTAGTCTATGTGCCAGACAGTAAGGTAAAGAAACACAAAGTCTCGAATGAATTGGGATCCAGGATTAGGCATTTGAGATATTCCAATCTAGCTCATATAAATCAATTATAATAAATATTGTTAATATATAAAATATCATATATGTATAAATTTCATAGAATGTTCAGCCGTGAGCCACTGTAATTGCAACCTCTTTGTTTGCTAGCTTCAATGAAAGATGCCTCAGACTCATCAATTACGCACAATACATATGCATATACAGTATTCACACGGGCCATGTCGAGGCTACGCAGAGCAGGCGAATCTATTAGGCTCTCAAAAATCAAGTGAGACGAATGACACAGGCAGTAAGAAGGGATGGAAAAGAATAGCGGAAATTTGAATCTCTCTTTCTCTCTTCTATTGGCGATGGTACATTAAATTAGAGGTCATGCTTGGATGGAGAACTAGAACTGGAAACAAAATGAGTAACAATTATATATATAATTATACATACAATTAAATAATTGTATTAAACTCGTTCATTTGATTTGTCAAACTGTTTTTGTTTCATTTAACAACTTATTTCATTTTAATTATGCTCAAGGGTTATCAAGCTGAAAAAAAAAGAGTTAGGAGTTGTGATGGTAATGCACTCTATTAGCCATGTTAACGACTGTGGAGTTCTTAAAGGCCGCGAATAGGAAGAGCTCGCCTTGCTGTGAGTTCATGTTAAGAGTATCTCAGCGTATTCGACACACTTTTATCATGCAGGACACGAACAAGTTTTTCACGGCGATGCTTAAAAAGTTTTCGAACGACTTGCGGAGCGGATTGAGCCAGCTAAGCTCATCGCGGCGGCCAGAGCGGGAAGCAGGAGGCGGAAGGCAGGCGTTGTGGGTACTTTGGCGAGATTTGCATAAAATTAAGGCTTATTGTAACAGGATTCGGTGAATTGCGAGAAATATTAATCTTTATGCGCATATTGATGGGCCGGCGACGGAGACGTCGACGTTGACGTTGACGTCGACGGCGACAGCAACTGCGACAGCCTCTGATCAAAGTCAAACGAAAGCCCAATCCTTTGACAAGGGTATCCCGAAATCCGCAATGTGTTGGCATCAATTTTATTAGGCAAATATTAGCGCAAGCCGATTTAATTTATTGCGACCTGTCCAAACAATAAATCAGCTTAGACAAAGGCCCTTTGCAACAATGCCATTGCGCTTGATTATTCAATTGTGAAATTCAGACAGCGGCAATTTCGAGGAAGCGCGAAGATGCATTGCCCAGATCTCAGAGGGCGCTCAATGCACCTCCTGCATCTGCAGCCCTTGACTTGATAATGACATTATAAATGCGCAACGTTAACAAGATTAAGCGGCCGATAACAATGGGGCTGCCATTCGGACTCGCCCAGATAAGAGGGGGAAGAAGAAAGGAGACGAGCATAAACTGCAAAGCTGAACGCAATCCACGTTTGCTTCTCTATTAAAAATGAATTATATACAAAGTATGAAAAAATTGTATTGAGGTTACGTATTAAGCCATAAATTTGCCAGCCAAACTGACTTTATGGCCCAAGCCAGCAGCCAGGGCAGGAGGCGGGCAGCAGGGGGCAGCAGGAGGCAGCAGGAGGCAGCCGGAGGGCAGGCAACAGGTGCAGCGCGTGCCTCGGGCGTCGGCTACAAATACTTCTGATTCCGGCTGTGCTTCTGGTTTCCGGGAGGCACTGACTGTCCAGAGGCTGGCCCTTGTCTGTTGTTTAATGCATGGCCCTTCACATGACTCGCCCCAAACAATAAATCACACAAAAATGTTGTGGCCTTCGTTTATCTTTTTTTGCATTAAAATTTACAACCTACTAAACAAGGCAACGCAACCAAAACTTGACGGGTGCACGCGCAAGTTTCCCTATATGAATAATTATGCATAATTTTAACATTTATCTTTCCATGGAGCAACCGAGCAACTTTAAGTCGGCCATGGACTGGCCCGGACGGCGGCCAACCGACCGACAGGCTTCCTCGTGCAGACATGCCTAATTAAGCCGGCCTGGGCAAAACCAATTAGACAAATCAGCTGCTGAGCATCAGTTGCCGTTGTTAGACAATTATTGTAATCGCAGGCGAGACGCTGGATAGGGAGGGCGGTTCGCCAGTTCGCCAGTTCGGGAGTTTGGCAGCTCGTCAGCTCGGCACCAGAGCCGATGAATGGCTTGTGCCAAGGACCTTTGCTCTAATCAATTGTGCGCTGCTGAGTTATTAGCATTGAAGCCTTCCCTATAAATGTGGTTGGCTTCGCTTTACAATCACGAAGTGTCACTTAATGTCTCCCGATGGCCTTTGTAGCTCGAACAGAGCTGGAGGCGTGGCCGTCGATGCTGCCAGCTCAGGCAGTCAAGCGTTAAAATCAAGAGCAAATAAAATAGCAACAACATCAGCTAAGACTGTGGCAGCACTTCGATGGCAGCATACGAGTTAAAGTAGTCTACCGTAGCACGTTTCGCTCTTCAAGTCTTTGGTGGCCAAATTGTGAGTATGAAAAGCGATTAGAAAGGTCGAACACCTGACAGTCTGCTATCGCATCAAAGAGTTTACACAAACGTGTATAAACATATACATGGGCAACCTTGTGGGACTCCCAGACGAGTCCTCCGAATATGGACAACACTCTGTTTCTGTAAATATGTATGTATATGTATGTATGTATATTGTACCAATATTGCCTTTGTACATCTGGGGAAATCTATGATGGTGATAAAGACTTACATTAATAACAAACGATATAAACTTAGCATAACAACTTAATGTAACAGATATAGTCTGTGAATGTTTAGCATAAAAACATTATTTACCGAGTATTATTATTTATAAATACATATTATATTTAGGTACTGCGAGATATGAATAGCTTTTCTGCTCTGTATTTGTTCTTATTGATGTTAGTTGAATTACAACTATTTGCCAACACTAGTGTTAGAGCCAATTGAGTGACGTGGCATTCAATGATTGTGCAATTAGCTTAATCATAGACTAAAACAGACTGCAGTATTGGCCAACTCGTTAGCCAACTGACAACTGCTTTTGAGCACAGCCACTGCAGCGCTCTGTCGGCGCTGCTCGGCTATAAAACAGCCTGGTGCGAAATAATTCAGCCACTGTTCCATTTAGTTGGTGAATCAAGATGAATGTGCTAATTTCGCTCCCAGCCATTCTGTGCGGAATGTACTTTCTTCTGGTCGTGGCCCATGACGAGCTGCCGACCGGACCGAAGAATCCCTATTGCGTGCAGCAGCTCTGTCCCAGGGGCAAGCGTCACATTGCCTGCGAGAAGCCGCCGAAGGTGAGTGCTGGGCCTCGGGAATAGCTCATAAGATATCGGTATATTCTCGCGCATTGCAGGACATCAACAAGTCGTGCAGTATTCGGGAGAGCAAGGTAGTGAACCTCACTGACTACCTGGAGAATATTCTCAAGGCCCACAACGACTTTCGCCAGCGCCTGGCCAATGGCCGGAACATGACCCTGCCCAGAGCTGCGCGCATGGTTGTGATGCAGTGGAGCGAGGAGCTGGCCACGTTGGCTAGCTACAATGTGCGCATGTGCAAGGCAAAGCACGACGATTGCCACAACACTGCCAACTTCAAGAACTCGGGCCAAAACATCATTGTGAGTGGGGATTAGGGAGTGTGAGTGGTGCAAGTCCGATTAATCAGATATTGTCACTCTCCCCAGCTGTTCAACATGACTCGGCTGGTGGACAATGACCTGATGGAGAAGATGTATCCCCAGCTAATCACCATCGGCACCCGCACCTGGTGGTCGGAGCACACCAACAGCAGCCGCAAGATGACAGCTGCCGATGTGGAGCACAACCCCTGCTCCGCCATCAAGCCCTACCAGCATCAGTAAGTGTCGAGCACTCCAGCTCCAAATTGGCCTCTTTAACCGTTCTCTTCCGCGACAGGCCCTTTAACCACTTTGCGGTGATGGCCGTCGAGAACAACACTCATGTCGGCTGCGCCGGACTGCGATATGTGGCCAAGGACATATCCTACTTCAAGCTGACCTGCAACTACGCCGAGAGCCACATGTGCGGCAGGCCGATCTATCATTTCCGCGCCACTGGCTGCACCACTGGGGCCAACGTCCAGTACAAAGCCCTCTGCTCCAAAAAGGAAATATTTGCCTAAATGGATTGCAGCTTAAATAGCCACCGAGCTAAGTAGCACTATATATAGCCCCATAGCAAACCGCAAATAAATTGAAATGAGCATCCGCTTGCTGTGTCGGATTGTGAAATTAACGCCATCCATATTTATGCAATTCGAATGGCTATTTCTATGGCCATAGTTCTATGGCTCGCCTGGCAATGCTGTGGCACGCGCCTTTCATTCGCAATAGATAAATTCCGCATAACAACAGCCGCTGCGCTGCGCTGTTCTGGTCTCTGCTCCCTGCTCCCTGCTCCCTGGTCTCTCGTCTCTGGTTTCTCTGCAGTACGAAATCATTACGCATGCAAAATTCAAATGGCGCAGCATCAAAATGGAATTTCTGCAAATTTCCTGCCTATTGCAGTTAACTTGGCACGCAGCGCAGTTGCCGGAGATACCCTAGAATGATGCCTGGCAGTGGATGCTGGCTGGCCTTGCTGTCTGCCTGTCGAGCAGGAAGCGAGAAATTTGCGCTGCTGCGTGATGAAGCAATTACCTGGCTAAAAGTGTTCACCCAGTCAATGCTGTCTGCAGAGGGCGAGCAAATTTATGATTTCATAATTGTGTGAAATTCCCAACAATTGGCAACGGAGTGGGGTCATAAAGCTATTTTCGAATAACCAAAAATATCAAACACATGCAGGCGAATCTCGGCTGCTGGCTAAACAAAGGAGCAATAAATATTTGTATATAAAACGGTTTTGCATTGATAATATCCAATTAATATTCTCATTCGGAGTTTGAAATAATAATTTACTGAGCTTTAAATTGCCTCTCTATGTGGCCTTTAAGAGCCAACACTTTACTGTGGCTGCGCGGCTTCAAGCTGAAACTTAATCGTTAGTGAAAATGCGTTGCAATGCGGGGAAAATGCTCAGAATGTTGTAAGGAAGGCAATTATTTTGACGCCTGTTATGAGCAGCTAAAGTTGCACGAGAGTTTATCTATTGCAGCATCTGTTAGATGAGTATCTCATTTAGCACCTGCGAATTGATTAATTAAGCCGCTGAGGGAAATCCGATCAGCTCCTGAATTGCAATTCAATTTCACTATTTGCTGCGACTTCATTTGATTTCACTGCATGAGAAATGCGCTTTGGCCAAGTGCGGGATTAGCTGAAAGCGAATTAAAAACAAAAAGCAAAAACGCTGCGAGATCTGACTTTTAAATCGAATTGCGCTGAGCCAGCGAAAAGCGCACTTGCATTGCATTTGACTTGCCTTGGCGCCTGCCAGAACGGGGCTTCTGCAACTCCACTCCACTTCGCACTGCCTCAGCCAGTGATTTGCTGTTGCTGTTAGCACCTGGAAAAAAACTAAAAGTCGCTGCTTCCGCAGCACATAAATTTGAAACGTTGCACGCTTTTAAGGTTTCTTCCGCCCCAATAGAAAATAAAATACACTCAACTATTCTTAAGTGTTCCATTTAAGAATACCCTGTGCAATGACTCTCTTCATTGGAGATCTAAACTTGAAGTATTTTTAGGGACTCTCTTAAGGCTTAATAGAGTTGCTAAACGATCTAAAATGGCTGCAACATATCGATCAATACTACCGATGACCTAATCGATCGATACTATGATGTGATTAATCGATCAACTAGGCTAGTTGCCGATTGAAAATACTTTTAAATAAGAAAATAAATTATTTTCAAACAAATAAGTAAATAAAATAATCTTCAGCCGAAAATGTTTTATATGATTCAGTTTTGATTTCAAACTTATTAGATAGAGAATTAGTTTTCATGCATGATCGAGCTAATTAAATTTATTTGTTTTGACCTCTAGGACACTTTGACAATAATACATATCACGGAAAATGTATGTAAAATGACCTTCCATTACAGTAGCGGATCAGTTAGGATTCAACAGCTATTTCCGCATCTACCGAGAGTATCCAGACTAACCACATACCATATTACCATGTTGTTAATTAATGATATCAACATCGATCAGCTTGCCATATAACCTGATAAGCGAACTAGCCTTATCTGTGCATTTATCGCTCAAATTAATCTACATCCATACTATTGATTGTGTCATCGCTCTCAAGCCTTAAGAGTCTTAGTTTTAGACAATTAGCCAGTTGTATTTGATTTGAAGTGATGCTAATAAAACAATTATTACAGATGAGAATTAAATCGGTGTTAATGAAGTTTCATGTGGAATCAGACATGGGCAAACATCAGTTTGCAGCAGCATCTAGGCATAAGGCATAACAAGGGAATTTCAAGTGGGTGCACAATGCTGGCATTCGTAAGCAAATCAATTTAGTAAATTATATGATGGCTATAGCCGGAGGCTTGTGCAATTATTGTAGTTCGGTGTATTTTAGCCGAATGAGCACAGACTAGAGTTGTTTGGGTCTTGTTTGGATTACATGTGTTGCTCTGCCACTGCCAGCGCCTCAAGTTGGGGCTTTTAGTTTGTTTTGGCTGTTAATAGTTCAACAATTTATTATAATTTATGATCAACCACAGATGCACACACACACGCACATACAGACACAGATGGAAGCACACATAAATATCTATTAAAGCTCTGCAGTCAGCTGCAAGTGAAGATTTACGAGTGTTGTAGGGCAGCTTTTGATAATGGTGCATTAGCGTGAAACGCTTTAGAATGCACTTTTGTCTACGCGCATGTGGGTGGCGTGGGGCGAAGGGAAGGAAGGTCGCCTCGGCTGAGCTGGGAGCTGTTAGCATTAGAGAACGTCTGTCAAGCATAAGTCGCAGGTCCTTTCATCCTTTTGCTGGTCGTCCTGGCAAAGCCATCTAGACATTCAGCCAACATCATTATCATTGTCGAGCGACACGTCGCGCTTATGCTGATGCGCCGGCTGCTCGCATGTCTGCTCGGCGCGGTTGGTGGTTTCCTTTAGCATTTGGCCTTTGACACACACAGCTCACGCCACGGATACGTATAAGTATACGCAAACACATACGTATACGTTATGCGTAATACGTAAAGTTGCGCTAAAGCGAGCAAATACTTTCTGCCAGCCACTTGGCCCCATTCGCGTTATTTTTTTACGGCCAGCAGCCGACGGGTATCGGAGAGTGTATAAAATGTAATGGTGCAGACTCCTGCGAGCCCCAAAGAGCATTTATTCCGTTTATACTGCAGATTAGCTCGACGTGCAATGCGAGGTGTATTAATGCTCAAGCAGATGAAGGCGAAGAAGGACTGCTAATTGAGGAAGTTACTTATACTAAAAAAGAGGTCAATTAATCTCATTGAAATTAATTACATTCTCCATTGCTATTTTGAAATTCCCTCCCGGCTGGCTCGAAGAGCATCTCGAGGCAGGCGCAGAGCTGTTTATATTTTTTTTTTATGGCCAGCTTCAGGATGGCGCATGGCTTACGTTTATTAGCATACTTCTATGCTGGGCGCAAGGTGCGTCTAATGGAACGCACGGACATCTACTTGTCGACGGCTCTTTATGACTTCATTAGGAGCGCATTTACGAGGCTGTGTCCTCCGCCTCTCGAACGCTCTTCGTTCGTTCTTTACGGCGGCATTGAAAGCCAATTGATTTCACATAAAATTCCGTACGGCTAAACAATGGGACAGCCAAGAGAGCCCTCAGCTAAAATCTAATGAAATTTATGCAGGGGCTGCAATGCGGCTGCACATGAATGGCAACTACAGGACATGTACACCTCTTACACACACACACACTCACATATTGGCTTACACGATGGTAACTTTTACCTGCCTTTGGCCGCAATTTACAATGCGGCGCCATATGCTCTGCGTGTGTATGTGTGTGTGTGTGTGTGAGAAAGAGTTTTTGTGTGTTTACTGCTGACCTACTTCAGGGGCACAGGACGCGGTGCGCTTTCACTTTGGCTTTGGAGCTGGGCCTGGTCTATGGCTTCGAACATTTTATGAACACTTTGGGGCCGCCTTTGTCTTGGCTCTTAGTTAAAACTGCATTGATGGCCAGCTGGAGTCCGTCCGCCGCCAGACCGGCAACGCCAGGCCACACTCACGTCTCTTCATCTCCTGCCTCGTCTTGGCTAAGTGCGCGCGCATGTGGAAGTAACAGTTTAACGCTTAAACATGCCCGAGCTTCGCTCAACTCAAGTGCACAGCGGCACACACATGCACACACACACACACATGCACACACACATGTGTTTAGTTTTTACTTTTGCAAACTAAATTTGCGCAAATTTTGCAGCGCACTTGTGAAGTTTTGGGAAAACAAATACAATTTGTAGCGCACCCAAGCAGCGAGTCGGGAAAARAAWAAAAAAAAAAAAAAAAAAACAAAAATGAGCAGAAAATAAAAGGAAACATTGAAAAACGGCTGCTGCTTAAACTGCTGCGGCACTTGGACTAAATGCGGGAAGGGTGTGTGCGATGGAGACTGTTAGACTGTTATGGCCGGAGATGGAAAAGGCTGCGGTGCTGGTCTTAGGTGTCAGTCGCCTGCCAACAGGAAGGAAGCTTTTCAAATGCCAAATGATAAATGCATTTTTAATGGAGCGCCGGTGAAGAGAGGAGTGCTGCGCCAGCGGCAGGCAGTGTCTGAGTTTAACAAACAACTTCCTTGGCGCTCCTGCCGCTGCTGCTGCTGCTGCTGAAAGCCTGGCTAAACGGCAGGATGCGCAAACGAGCGCCTCAAAGCGTATCCTAATGGGTACCCTAAAGCCAGGAGTTGGCCAGTTGGGAACTGTGCTCGTCGCTCGTCGCTCGTCGACCGATGCCCGTCGCCCGTCGCCCCTTCGCCCGTCGGGGGCACAGCAAAAATGATTTAGTCAACATTTTATTCGTTCATCATTTAACTTTAAACTCGGCACATTTACGCTTAATTATACAAGCATTTCGTATTTCACATTCCCAAACAACAAATTGCCTCACTTTGCGCTAAACAAATAACGGACACATGTATATATACATATATATATAATAAATAAGAGATTGCGACCCCTGAATCGACGTAATTGTTGAAGCCTTTATGTGAACAATCAGCATTAAATGCTAGCTTGCAATTGTTGGCCATTTCAATTTCAATTCGAGCTTTGGCTTTTGGCCTTTGTTTCGAGACAGCGCTCGGTTTA